GTGGCACTTTAACTCTCAAACCTCTTTTATGTGAGTCCCCTCTTTGCGGAAAGTCCTCGTTTCAGTGTGTGTGAGCAACGAGCAGCAAACGGGCCAAGCCACTTTCAAAAACTGTAAATGTGAGCGCAGAAACACACGAGCCAAGGCTGAGAAAGTGCAGTCGAAACATCTGACGAGTTTGAAAGTCAATATTTGGTCTGGGCCCGGCCTAGATCCTGTAATTCTGTAAGGACGCTTCGGGAGCAGTTCTCCGGGCTTCTTGGAGGAGGTCCCAATGCTCCTCTTTGGATATGGGCTGCCTTTGGCTCTGTTCTCTGTCAGATGAGCCCACTCTACTCATCTATTTAGTCAAACTGTGTTATATGTGGCATTTTCAGAGCAAAAAAGACTTGTCCTTGTGACAGCCTGCAAAACTACTGCTTGCAACCTTTCAAAAGGTTATAAGAAAGCCTGGGCCTTTGCAAGCAAAATATTGAAAAAAAGGGAGGCGGGTGAAGACCAATTTGCCGAATTGAACAATGAGGAAGACAAAACGCCATTTCTGTCTGTTGCAAAAGCAAATCCAGAATAACCTTTAGGGGCAGATGAAATGGCCGACTGGTTCCCAGCCATCTCTCCTGATGTTAAACACTTACAAAGTTCCCAGAGAACAGAAACAGAAAACACGGCGACCTTCTTTTTTTTCTATTTTCTTTTGAACGTGCTGCAGTTCGGCCCCTTCTCTCTGTGGGTCCTGCACGCTAATGGATTTTAGCACACTCATTTCTGCATCATCTGATGCAGGAACTGTCGAAGCGTTTTGTGGCTCGTGTGTCACTGTGACCACTAATGGCCTTTTTAACCAGTTGTTCCCCACAAAGGATATTATGCAAAACAATTCCGGGCAGCAGGTGTTTGGGCAGCAGATCCTGACATGGTGGCATGACTACTTGTTAGCTGCCGCAAGCCTCCTGCCGCGCGTCCTTCCTCTGTATGCATATGTATATGTACATATATACATATATATGTGTGGGCCAAACCACACTTGTTAGCACATAAATGCACGCAAACCCAACACTTCAATAGGAACCGCACAGGCTCACGGTCACCTCTCGACTTCTGTGACCTCACTGTCCCAATTATTCACAACGGTGAGCTCATTAGAAGTTTCAAGGGTGATCTTCCGCAGAGCGATCTCGACGCAGCAGCTGGTCCCTGAATAAATTTGCATGGTTAGGAGGCGCTCTCACCAGCCCAGGCGCATCGTGGACATTTGGAGGTATCAGTCAGCCAATGCAAAACACCAGAACACTCTGCCGCTGATTGTCCTGCACAAAGGGGGTGAAAAGCTCTATTTCATCATAGTCTAGCTTTCTTTGGCATGAACAATTACTGGAAAATACTTCAAAAGCAAAATATGTCTGAAAGTAAAATGATAATTCATACATATATGTATATGTATGGATTGTCATTTTGGAAAAATATGTAATATTGTATATTGGAGGCAGAATTACTGTGCGTTTATTGGCAGTGTTTTAGTTTAAACCATTGGGTATTTTTACCCACTGAGACAATGTGTGGATAACCCCCCACCCGGTTCTAACAATGCTAACTGTCACATGTTGTTTACCAGCCCTCCCTTCATGTTAACAATGGAACAAGGTGCAAATGGAGGCAAAACCACCTGGCGAGGGATTCCAGGACTATCTAAGCACTTGGTAGGTGGTGAATTAGACCACCACCTATGTTTGGCGTTAGTGTTTATCTTACTTTGAAACTCTAATCTGCTCATTCATGAAGCCATGCCGGTTAAGACTGAGACCGTTGATAAAAAGCACAAATCTAGTGTGCAGTATTTGAAGGGGATATAGGATGTTATGCAACACAATCTACCTGTATATCTACCAAACACTTACATTCACTAATTCATACAAAATTATGCTAAAAATATTAAGATGTGCGACAGGATGTGTATGATTCCAGATTGTCTTATGTTAACACGTATTTGAATTAGAATAAAAAAATGAAGTTAAATTAAATTTGCTTTCTCAGCTACAATCCCAAAATGTGCTTTTCCCAATTGCTGTAATTGGAACCACCTGTAAAAGAAAATGGTTTGAAACAAGACGAGTTTAAAACCTGTAAAAAGGAAAAAAAACAACTTCCTGAGGGTTTGGCAGGGGGGGGTTGGCTTATATGGGGTAAGATCCGGGGAAGGGTGCCAGGGGGGCATGATAAGCACAGCTGCAGTGTGTTTTAATAAGTCCCCCTGTCTTTATCTGCAGTTTGTGCTGAGAACCAGAAGACACTGAGCGGAGATACTGGTGCCCAGTGAGCTGTGAATCACTGACATTGTGCCCCCCAAAACAAGAGAGTAAACTTTAAATCTGGAATGCAGCTGTTGTGGGAAACCGGCCAAAACTGGTTTTCCAAGCCATCCGTCCAAGCCAATATGCTAATCGTGCAAATGCTACTGTAGTTCTTTGAAAAGAGGATGGGATTTATTTTTGGGCTATATAAGTTTAAAGCAAATTGAATGAGTCTGTACTACAGTTAAAGACAAGACAGACTAAATGAGAAAGCCATCTATCAGAGGTCTTTCAAATCACTTAAGAGAAGCTACGCTATAAATTGTTTAGCTGCAGTGTGAAAATGACCGTCCTGTTCTTTCAGGAGCCACTTCCTGTGTTTTACTGAAGCTCAGAGATCATAGAGTGTTTTTAAAAAATGGCATCATTAAGAAAATATAAAGTCTATGAATTCCAAAGTTTTCTGTTCTGGGAACAGAGTAGATTTTGGTTCAGTGTACGTGTACAAATCTAGCAGCCAACAAGCTAATCTAGCCGACACGCTTACGTTCAGGGTGCATGGAAAATGATGCAATGACCCACTAGCTTTTCGAGAAGATTTGTGTTTAATTGTTGTTAAATTCTTCCAAAATGTAAAATTGCGTGTTTGGACAACTCCAATATATCCAAATATATCCAGAGGACCAACTGGTCAACAAACCGGCATGCGGCCAGTTTCCATCAGCCCAAAGGAGGCAGGAAATGAATGAAGAGACCCACATAAATAACAACAGTGCAATAACGTTGAGTTGCAGTTTCTTTATGGCCCCCTATGATGAAACGCACCATGGAGCTGGGAACAAATCCAACCTCTTAACATGTCCACCCAGGCCTTACATTTAATTTTCTGTGTCCATGGTTACCTGAAGTCAGCGGTCA